AGAAAAAAAAGCTCACAGATTTTCTCATTTAGGCCTGGTCTTAAAGACATAAAGGCCCTTTATTGGTTTTTGTCTCATTGAAATTCTTTTTGGAAATAGTTTTGTAAAAGTCTAAGCTTCATTAAATATAGATGAGTAAATGCAAATGATGCTGATTTAAATAAGTCACTAAAATATAGGCATAGAGTTAAACGGAATAAAAAAGTTGTCTGACATAATAGCAATAATTTAAAAATGAAAAACAAACATTACTAATACTTAAGTCTTAATTTCTAGCTATTAAATCACAAATTAAAAATCTATGTAAAAATATCTACAATTCCTTAAGTAATTTTTTTTTTACTTCTGGCTTGAGTTGCATAGTTTACAGCATAATGAATTTGTAATGAACTATAATAAATGGGATAATAAAAAAAGCTCTAAAACAGTTGTAAACAATCGCAAAAATCTAAATCTGACACAATGGCAGTAATTAAAAATAATGATAAAAATAAAATTACTAATATTGTTTTAATTTTCAGCCATTATAGGAAATAGCAAATTAAAAATCGACATAAAAATATCAATGATTTTTTTTTGTAAACATGTGTACTTCTGGCCTGACTTGCATAGTTTATTAAACAATAATTTTGTAACAAATTATAATAAATTGAATAATAAAAAATACTTTACAAAAGTAATACATTTGTAATTAAGTATAATAATAGAAATCATTTTTAAAAATGCTTTTAAAAAAAGTTGTATAAAATCAAAACATGACACAATACCAATAATGTAAAAAAATATAAAATGTAGCATTATTAATACTGTTTTTATTTCCAGCAAAATCACAAATTAAAAATCTAAATTAAAGTTTTTTTTAATGTAAAAAATTCAACGTCTGGACTGATTTGCATAGTTCACTATGTAATAAATTTGTAACGAACTATAATAATAATTATATAGAAATTATAATTATATAATTTAAAAAGTCTATAAAAAAGTTTTAAAAATGGCAAAAATCTAAATTTGACACAATGGCAATAATTAAAAATAATAGAAAAAATATAATTATTAATATTTTTTTAATTTCCAGCTATTATAGGAAATCACAAATTAAATATCGACATAAAAATATCTACAAATTTTTTTGTAAAAATGTGAACTACTGACCTGACTTGCATAGTTTACTGAATAATAAATTTATAATGAACTATAATAATAAAAATATTTTTTTTAAATGCTTTTAAAAAGTTGTTTAAAATTGCAAAAAGCAAAACATGACACAATACCAATCATGTAAAAAAATGAAATCTAGCAATATTAATACTGTGTTCATTTTCAGCATTTATAGAAAATCACAAATTAAAAATCTACATTAAAGTATCTATGATTTTTTTTATGTAAAAAATTGTACGTCTGGCCTGATTTGCATAGTTTACTAAATAACACATTTGTAACGAACAATAAAAAATAGAATAATGATAAAAAAACTCCATGAAAAAAAAGGCAAATATCTAAACCTGACACAACAGCAATAGATAAAAAATGTAACATTATTAAAACTGTGTTAATTTCCAGCAATTACAGAAAATCACAAATTAAAAATCTAAGAAAAAATAAATACATTTTCTGCATTTTTTATGTAAAATTTGCCTGACTGGCATTGCTTGTTTATTGAATACTAAATATATAACAAACTATAATAAAACATTTTACATCATACAGCATAAGACAATCCATCTTGGTTCGTATTGGCAACTTTAGAAGTATGAATCAGTGCAACATAAAGTTTAATCAAATAAAACCTTATAAAGTACTGAATGTGCAGAGTACAGAGAAGGTCTTCCAGTGTCTGAGACAGAAAACCTGATAGTCTTTGTAGAGAGGGGAAACAGTGTCCCTTTGAACAAGTTCAGTCTTGGAAAGTCTTGGTCCTGTGCCCAAAACACTCACTACAAAGCAATCAATGTTGCTGTATACTGAGGATTCTCTGGCCTGTCTCTCTCTCTCTGAGCCTCAGGCCTCCATCAGAGCTGATAATAATGCCACACTGGTGTCCGTGACTCAAATGGCCCAAGGTGTGAGACATACAGCTGCGACTGATCTACGGGCAGCTTAGCATTCACAGGATATGAATAACTGATACCACTAAAAATGTGGACGGAACTGAATATGGTTTACTACAATGGAAGAAAGAGACTTAAAAAAAAGCCACAAGAATGGCAGAATAATATTACATAACAATGCAAAACTCTGCCTTAGGATACTGAAAAGGTTTCAGTGGGATTTAGTGCCTTTCTACATTGTTGCTAGGGTGGTAACAAACTGGTAACAGCGGGAAAGCCGGGAAAGACAAACTGGTAACAGCGGGAAAGCCGTCCATACGGTGGTCAGTGGTCAGCTGGTAAGCACGAAAAGTAACGCCGTCAAAAGACGAAATGCAGTCTGTGCCAATGGCGTAGTGGTTAGTGTGTTGACACCATAGACTGTAAAATATATGGACGTAGTGTCCGTGACGTCACCCATAGGTTTCTAAAGAGCGCAAAAGAAGCCACAAGTAGGCGCGGCCAACCGTCGCCATTTTGTTTGCGCGTCCTCACCAAACAAGTGCAAAGAGGCGGAGAGTGGGCGGAGCTACAGACACCTACTGGCATTTAGCTTGGACCTGGTTCAGACACACTTTACTTTGGGAGAAACGCTTAATACTTTATCACCTGTGACTCGTTTGTATTCTGACCACTTGTGCTTGGTTGTATACTATATCAATAAAGTGTTTAGACTTTTAAAAACACTGCTGTAATACATTGAGCCACTAAGTATTGTTCTTTTGGCGTTTTTATAAGAGGCAGAAAACGTGAATTACTTCCAAACACTTAAAATATAGTCTGTCTGTGTTAGACAGATGAAATCCAGCATAACACAGAAATACGATAAATATGCCGAGTTCAGTGGCTAACCTGCAGGATTCAGCTGAGGTGATGTGACGGCGACCAGCGAGACCTAGCTGTCACTCAAGTGGCCACTCCCTTAATTATGCAAACTTACTATAACTTAATATAAAGGAAACGCATGAGTTATAAAAAAATTCACCCCCCTCACAGTTGTCATGAAGGGTAATATTAGCTGTATTAACCAAAATCTTTTTGTAAACACTGTTTTTTCTGCAGTAAAGTTGGCCATTCTAACAGTGGGCTCAATTGAAATTTGCTCTGTTTTGGAGCCAGGAGCAGGCCAGGACTAGCGGAATTTCGGATGAATTGCAGTTTTAGTTACTTCCGTATTGGCTTCCTGAGGGAGAGCGGGAGGTTGCCGCTTGGTTGACACATGCACTCCGATGTTCGCAGCGACCTGAGTTGATTCTTGCCTTGAGGTCCTATGCCGATCCTTCTCCTCACTGTTCTCCTCACACTTTCCTGTCAATACTCTCTACTGTCCTATTTATTAAATATGAAAACCCCCAAAAAGAAAAAAAAGACTAAATGTAGCCATATGTACTTCTGGCTACATAATTCGAGATCTCCAGAAATGTAGGGCTACGTTTTCAGAATGAGCCTATGTTGTTACTTTTGGTTACTAGGTTACCAATATTATATTGAGCCACTCTGAAATCTTGCTGAAAATGCATCTAAATTGTCTTTTTTTGGGTTGAGATTGAAAAAAATTGCTTCATCTAAAGATGAAAACCAGGCTACTGATGCATGTCAAAAGTTTAAAGAATGACGCCTCTCTGTCACTAAAACAGTCATCGTATAGGAATGTGTTTACACTACTAAGATTCCTCCTCTTTTGTGGATTATTACAATTTTGCGCCACTCAAGCGTACATGGTATGCTGGTTCAAAAATAACCTCACAAAATGTTACATTTTAAATCCATGCAGGCTTTAAAAAACTCACTGCAAGACAGGAATGTGTGGATCTTGAAAGATAATGACTATATTTTCTCAAGCATTCTGATTTGACATTGCTGTATCCCTGCAGCACATCTGGAGGAGGCGTCTGACCTTGCCATAAAAGGTGATTTGTGAGAAAGACTCCAGTAAAACCTTGTAAAGAAGGGATTGCTTGCGATTTCAGAAGACACTTTCATTCAGAGCAGCTTATGAGGAGAAAACGCCGTGCTCAAGGACAAAATAGCAATAGATCATAAATGATGTCTTATGGGATTTGAACGAGCAGCCTCTGGGCTTCCAGCCCCGATCTAGCACAATACTTCAAAGTTAATGTAAAATATCCAATGTACAGTTTATAAAACACATTCTGCTTTACTTTTAAATGAACAGAAGTTAAATGTTTTTGTCTGCATGTATGGAAGGCAAGTCAATATTGTCTGACACACTTCCTGTTTACCTCAGATCTTATATATGCCTAAATAACATTATTTAAATCAAGAATGATTCACTGTATTTAATAAACAAAATCATAGAAGATTAATTTATAATCATAAAATATATATAATAATACATTTTCCGTTTTTTTTACCATGTTTATCTTCATCATGAGACATTAGATGGACAATTGTGAGGGCAATAACGAAAACCTTCATAGTGCTGCGTAATAAGGACTGTAATAGACAGGTATAACGGGAAATTATCATTAGACGTGCGCGTGGCTGCTTTTGCGCACACCGGCACTGCGCTTAAATCCATGAAAACACTCGTGCAGATGTTTTACCAATAAATATAATGATCAAATCAATAAAACGACTAATTTATTCTTCAAACCATGTAAGATACATTATTATAAACGCCCTGACAAACGCCAATTTCTCCTCACAGAAATGCAAAAAGCCGTTATCCAGGTCACGCGCAACTGGGCCGCTACTTTTATTGTTTTCTTAACGACAGGTGGTAAAGAAACCTTTATAAACATATTATTAAACCCATACAGTATGTAAAAGGACTCAAAACATGCGTATGATTTAGATTCTTCAGAAATACTTTGGACCGCTGGTGCATTTAACGTTCTCCCGGGTCTTTCAACAATTTTCTGCGTATTTCTCCATTTCAGTTGTACATACCTTTGTCTGACAGCGTCAGTTTTTCTTCAAAGCTGCTCTCAAGAGCTTTGTTCTCCATTTTGTTCATGGTTTTCAGTCAGTCATTCCATTACAGGGTCCAAAAGAGACGTGTAAAATAGAGGAACTCCCAGTTAGGAACACACCCGAATGCGGTGGCCCTTTAAATCTGATCAATGACAAACTGTTGAGCTCAATTAACAGACATTCGCGATCGACGATTGATTAATTTCAATATTTCCACAGAAATGTGTAATCTCAGCTGTGAAAACTAAAGATAGAAAAAGAGGGGGGCCCAAATCCGGGGCCCAGCCCACTGTAACGTTACAGCAGCCGCTCGCTGAATACAGTTACTCAATGCGGGACGGTCTCTGCCTATCCACTGGGCCGTACCATTCACTAAAATGGGGGACGAAGGAACTAGGGGTGGCCCATATGAAATGATATTTATGTTTATATAAATAATTTTACTTTCATAATTCTAATATAGAACATTAATTTCATTTATATTATGTTTTTTTTCCATCTGTAGTTAATGAAAACGAATGTTTATAGGATTTCGCGGCATTGCTCCCCCTTTAGGTTTGTGAAAGCGGGATCTGCGGCAGTGATGGAGGCATACGGGCACACGTCCTTTAATTTGTCCCACTGGAAGAATAGGGTGCAGCCAAATTTTAAATGTCATCAAATGAACACCATGACCTGGTGGACCTGCAAAGGCAAACGTACAAGTAGATAGTTGTAAGATACTTTAAAATGTTGTTAATAATATTAGTAATAAGTTATAACACAATAATATAAATATATTTAGTGAATACCCTCTTCAGTGTGATTTTGGTTAGATGTTGGCAGGTTGTTGGACCAGATGTTCGTGTTTAAAGCCTTTTTTAATATAATTCATCTGAACCAAATTTGCATTCTTCTATTATAGTATTTAATAACAAATAATAAATAAAAAAATAAATATTAAAATAAAACATGAAAATTCTCAGTTTCTCTGGATGTATCATTGATTAAAATATTTGTTTTACTCCATAAAAGTCTGAACATTTCAAATTTCCTATAAAAATTTTGGCATTTTTTTAATCATAACTTTTTTTTTAACATAAGCAGTGCAGGTCAATATTTTTGTATTGTTCATTATAAATAGAAACAGATTAAACTGATAAATAAAGACTGAGCAGGCTGATCTATTCATCTCAAACTAACAAAACAACTGCAATGAATTAATATTGCATCCATATACTCGCTCAATACCTTAAAAAAAGCTAAATTAATCGGTTAACTGTTTTATTTACTCCGTTAAAATAGTTGGGTTAAAAATACCCTAACATATAACCCTACTATATGTTATTATAGCACCTTTCCAAATGGGTTATTTTAAACCAATGCATTGAGTTAAATAATTTATTTTGATTAAATGTTATTTTTTCCATTCTGGTATTACTGTTGAAGTACTACTATTCACTTTATGATTATAACTGTGTAAATAAATAAATGTCTCCGCTGGATCCTAAAGGTGAGAATGACGGCGGAATATCCTAATTATGTGTATAATTTGTAGAGATGAACACGGGAGGTAAAGCGTTTAATCCATTTAATATTGATGAAGTGCGTGTTTGTATCATCAGTATTTAAGAATGCTGCTGAAATGGATAAAAAAACACAACACTGAGAAGTAATTTGATAAAAAAATACAACAATTTTACAGCTTAAATAAACTATAAGACAAAAACAACATTACACACGCATAATACAGCTGTTAAATCAATTGACTGTTAAAATTCAACATTTCAAAACAACTAGTCAAGTTATTAAATAAATAACCAAATAAAGCTTAAAAATAATCCATAAAGCCCCAAATATTTAACCCAATTATTAATAAATACCCTAATAAAGGTTAAAAATAACCCAACAAAGCACCAAATATGTTTAACTCAACCATTGGGTTAAATAAATAACTCAGTGTATTTTTAGAGAGTAGATTTCTTTAACCCTTTACAATGCATCATAGTTAACAATTTGTCCATAGGTTATGTTAAAATCAAAACAAATGTTACAACCATCCAAAAAATGAGCTTAGGGTGGTGTCATGAACACATTTTTATCAAATAAACAGTTTGTTTTTTTAGAAGTCAAGTTATAGGGTTAAAACTATCTCAATGACTCAAGAACCACACATTTAATCAAGCATATTCATTTAGCACCAGGACCCTCAGACCCTTACAACTAGACCACGTTAGTCTGAAACTGCTGAAAGCGTCATTACAGTTCCAACTTTACTGGATTAAGTGTAAACCAGTGTGAGTCTGGTCTTATTTAATGCTATAACTGCAGCTTTTAAGAGCTGAAATCAGGCCATTATAACAGCACGAAGCAAATCAGCCATCTGGTACCACTGATAAAACCCTGCCAACAATCCCAGCAGAGCATACCTGCCACCAAAACCACTAGCATTTACGTGAATAACCTACATTTTTAAAAACAAAATCAATCAAACGGTTAAAAAAAGAAATGAAAACCCACGAGGCATAAACCCCATCAGAGCACACATAAAAATAATGCAGAGGTCAAAAACCGCATGCAATGCAGTCAGGCGGAGACTTTTCTCAGACTGCTTTGAGTCCACGCTCGCGGCCACTTTCAAGATAAATGTAGATCCAATCAGTCATGAGTTAAACAATTGGGATCTGTACAGGCCTGAAGCCTGGGGATGTGTATCCGGCGTGATGGCGCACTCATTACGTACCCTTATTAAAATCATGTCTCGCCGCCATGGAGAGCGACGCAGATGTGATAAAAAGAGGCTTTGTTGTGGCCACATAGGTGAGAATGCGGTCAGGTTTGCTCTGCTTTCCAGAAATCATAAATTGGGTTTGTTTTTAAGTCTTTATATAAATGGTGCACTGTCTCACATCAAAAATAACCTCCAAATGTGGTCTGCTATAATTCAAAAGAGATAGCTCACACAAAAATGACAATTTACTCACTATTTACTCTCCCTTAAGTGATTTCAAACCTTTATTTGTTTTCCTTCTGTTGAACACAAAAGAAGATATTTTGAGAAATGCTGGAAACCTGCAACCATTGACTTCCATGAAAACAAATACTAAGTGATAGGTTGTCAGCATTTTACAAAGTATCTTCTTTCATCTTCAACAGAAGAAGGAAACCTAAAAAGGAAGTAAATGATGACAGAATTTTCAGTTTTGGGTGAACTATCCCTTTATAGAGCTTAGATGCTAATGTGAACTAAATCTGCTTGATGTGCTGAACGTTTTTCACAATGATGAAACTTTGTATCTGATTCTATTATTGAATGTTCATCTGCATTGTACAAAGCACAATAGAAATAAAGGTGATTTGACTTGAAATCTGTTAATGATCACAGATGGTCCGGGATCCCCAATTAAACAGACTGTAAAGTTCTTCAAAGAGTCATTATTCATAGTGTAAAGAACTATTTAATCATCTAAAGCACCTTTTTCCACTAGAGCTTTTTGTTAATGACAATCGCCAATGCCTTATTATTAAATTGTTAAAATGACTATAATTAAATGAAATATTCTTATTAAAATAAAATATGATGTGTTCTTTGGAAGAGTGTACTTGCATTGTGATGATATTGTATTGTTGTTTTGGCATTATATAATGAGTGGCATATAAGGGTCTTAAAATGACAATAATATCGTTTAACACAATATATTTTGTGTGATATATTCTACAACAAAAAATAGATAAAACATTAAAAATAGTCGTTCCTCATTGGTATTAATGATACCATCAAGAACCCTATGAAACCTTTTTTTTTTTTTTTGCTACTAATGAATACTAATAATAGTTTTAGGGACATGTTCAGGGTTAGAACCGTCATGTTCCCCAGCGATCAAACCACCAGAGGTCGCTGGTAAACACTCACATCCACATGAACCACAAATCTGCTTCTAAATGGACTACAAAATCAGTCATGCTCCACACACACAACCGGTTCCAGATCCTGACTGATTGCATACACACAGCTGATGCTGCTCATGTACTGATTACACACCCATACAAACAGCTCACAGTGAAGCCCTCAGTGCTGAGTCTTGTTATCTGTGACATTACAGAAACTACCCCTAAACTCGCATCCTAACCCTAACAGTATTGTAATTTCATGTATTTAATTAAAATTACTCATTATAAATTAATAGTTGCACTTTAATAATCACACCTTAAAATAGACCAAATATTACAGTAATACAGTAACAAAAAGTTGCTAATATATTTTTTGATGTTATATATTTTATTTTTGGAAGCCATTCAGTCAAAATAGCTTTTTTTTTTTTTTTATTAAGAACAGAAAAAAACATGTGTTATTTTTTTATTAATAGCAGCTTCAAAGGGGGCTTTTAAAGACAACTTTCCCTCTCTGCAAACATTTCTTATTGTGCTCAACAAACAGCTCAAAAGAGTGAACAGACTGAGACTTTTTTGTTTTGTTTTGTTTGTGATGAATAGGAAACCAATTATGGCTAAATCTTCCTCACTTGAGATTAAGTAATGATCTTTACAAGAAGCATCCACTCTCAAAAAAACACAATTTTGTCAGATCTTTGCAAGACTGGTATGATATATAGATAATAAAGAGAAGTTGGACAATGGTGAGGTCAGCATGTGAATATGTTCACAGCTGTTGATGGGGGCGGGCGGAACAGCTGCAGGGTTTGAGATATCAGCAACAGGCGACAAACGGACATGACTGCACTCCTATTACTACAAATAATTCAACTAATAGATCTAGTATCTAGTAGCATTTAAAACCTGACATGTTTGACTTCCAGTTCACCAACTGCTTAAATATTTTGGAATATCTTTAAATGAATATTTTCCTTTGTGTGAAGATTTAAAAAAATAGATCAACTAATTACGAATGCATTATATATATTTAAAAACGTTTAAGATATACAGTATGAACAATTGTAAAATAAAAATGACTTGGCACCTTACATTTTTAAGTTTAATATACTTACATTTTGAAGTCATTTCAACTTACATTGCATTAAATTGACTTCCAGCTAAATCTTGTATAACTTAAATCAAGTTAAAATGAGGTTAACTTAAGTTAAATTAAAATTAAAACATGCAAGCTTAAAGTGACATTTAAAGGGTTAACTAGGTTAATTAGGTTAACTAGGCAGGTTATGGTAATTAGGCAAGTTATTATACAACAGTGGTTTGTTCTGTAGATTATCGGGAAAAAAATTAGCTTAAAGGGGCTAATAATTTTGTCCTTAAAATGGTGTTTAAAAAATTAATAACTGCTTTTATTCTAGCCTAAATAAAATAAATAGGGCTTTCTCCAGAAGACAAAATATTATCAGACATACTGTGAAAATTTCCTTGCTCTGTTAAACATAATTTGGGAAATATTTAAAAAACAAGAAAAAAATTCAAGGGGGGCTTATAGTTCTGACTTTAACTGTAAAGAAGATCTGAACATTGATAATATTTCCTGCCGCTTTAATTTCTCAAAAATCGAACTTTTATAGTCATTTTAACTTACATCGGTCAAACGGACTAAAATATTAAAATTAAACTTTGTAAAACTTACATTTTTAACTTATTAAAATAAGCTAAACATTTAACAAATTTGTTTCATACTGTTTACAGTATGAATCTTCATTGAACTTGAGTAATTATGAATCATACCTCAAAATCTATCATTATTTAAGCAGATACACTCCAAAAAAACTCTTTTATAGTTTTTAGTTGAATCAAACTAACTTTTCTAGCCATCTCAATTTACATCAACCAAACTAAATCAGACAAAAATATTAAAGGTAAACTTTCTACAACTTAACATTAAATTAAAGCAACAAAAAATATTAGTTGTCTTCACTTTTATTACATTTTTATTAGTGTAAAAGTGTTATTAAATAACAAATAAACATTCCGGATGAATGATTTCATGCATAATGTTGACTTTGCTCATAGCAGGTCATAGACCGATGTCACGGAGGACATTTTCAGGTCATGACCGTCTGAAATCCCCTCAAAGATTTTAGCATTGTTCAGATGAGCACAGACCTCCACACCCTCAACAGCTGCTGTACATCACCACTGACCCAGGACCAGCTGAAACATCACTCACTTCACCATGTTCACCGCCCAGCTGGTTTAGGATCACCTTATCAGGGGACCCCACAACGGAATGAACCACTAACTATTCCAGCATGTCTTTTACGCAGCGGATACCCTTCCAGCCGCAACTCAGTTTTGGGAAACACCCATACACAGTCACATTCACACACACTCATACACTATGGGCAATTACGTTTACCCTATTCACCTATAGCGCATGTGTTTGGACTGTGGGGGAAACCCATGCCAACACGGGGAGAACATGCAAACTCCACACAGAAATGCCAACTGAAACAGCCTGGACTTAAACCAGTGACCTTCGTGCTTTGAGACGACAGTGCTAACAACTGAGCCACCATGCCGCCTAGAATAAATCCCTATATTTCACTGCAGAATACTAAAGTGGCTTTGTTTATATTCACCGTCCAGCAGGTCCAGGATCAGCAGCTGAGGGATCAAAGCTGTGGAGTACTTTCAGCTGTTTAAAAGTGACGCAGTGATTCTGAGAATACTTTGATTCGTTCAGATCTTGACCGTGGAAGTTCAAAAGCAACTATACAGACAAGGCTTTCTTTAAACAGATTTCCTAATAATTATGTTTAAAATAATAATTACAAAATACCACTAAAATAAAAAAATACATATATAATAATAGTCAAAATGATTAAAAAAATGTTTTTAATGACAAATATTTTATGAAGCATTCATTCATTCATTTTTCTTTGGCTTAGTCCTTTTATTCATCAGAGGTCACCACAGTGGAATGAACCGCTAACTTATCCAGCATATGTTTTACACAGCAACAAAGCTTTTCACTCATCATAGCACACCTGCTGCTGATGATGTGAATAAAAGTGATTTGATTACTTGCTTATTTGATTTAAAAACAATAATGACAGGATTAACTATAACATAATAAAATAAAATCTAAAAAAAATACAATTTTGAGACCAATATTTTATGAAACAGTAGCACATGAATACTTAAAATATGTATCTTTAAAAAAATGTGCTCAAAAACAAACTAATTTAAGCTAATGTAGTTTTTAAAAAAATATATTATTAAAACATAAGGTCAAATATTATGTCTATAGGGCGATACAGTGGTTCAGTAGTTGGCACTGTTGCGTCACAGCAAGAAGGTTGCTGGCTCGAGTCTCGGCTGGGTCAGTTGGCAATTCTGTGTGGAGTTTGCATGTTCTCCATGTTGGGGTGGGTTTCCTCCGGGTGCTTCCACAGCCCGAAGACATGTGGTAGAGGCGAATTGAATAAACTAAATTGGTCGTAGTGTATGTGTGTGTGTGTGTGTTTGTGAATGAGTGTGTATGGATGCTTCCCAGTACTGGGGTGCACCTGGAAGGGCATCCACTGTGTAAAACATATGCTGGAATAGTTAGCGGTTCATTTCACTGTGGCAACCCCAACTAAGCCGAAGAAAAATGAATAAATTATGTCTATATTGGTTTGGTTTGCTGAATCTTGGATATTCAGAGGATCACATAGTTTTCTATTTCAATCCAAAACAATCCAAAACATTTAGAGCAATTTCTAAAATCTTTTCACTTGAGATCAGAAGTAACTTGACGTAACATAAAAATAAAAAATCAATTACTAAGACTGACCATTTAAATAACAAACACACAAATAGTTATTAAAATCTATATTTGCACAGTAATTTGTTTTACTAAATGACGTTTGTCTAAGCTGGAATCCACAGTTTTGCAGGATTATACAGGAATGATGTCTTGGAAAGGACTGTGGGTTCATAGAAACCTGTGAGGAGATGACAGAAACATACACTAAAGTTAAAATCGTAGATAAAATAAGTAAAAGCTTTAATTTTACATGTGTTACCTGGACCAGGTATATCCTGTCCTTTGACCTCCTGCATGTGCCTGTTTGTCCCAGATAGAAAGGCGGCGCTGGACACCATGTGTTTGACAGGACGATTGTAGTTCACTATGTCATAGTGTCCCGGTCCGGGGAAAGGAGGGACTTTTTCGGGTATCAAAGGTGGTGCAGATAATCCCAAATAGTACCTTCTTCTGCACAGAGATCAGATATTAAGCATCTTAATCATCATGTAATATATATAAAAACCTCTCATTTCATATATAAATTAATAAACAGACGTCTAAGAGATCCATAACTGTTCTTATTATGCTTTAAAAACAAGATAATGCTAGATGCTTCATGCAAAATATGAAAGATTTAGAACAGTAAGATTAGTTTGTTTTTTAAAGAAGTCTCTTCTGCTCACCAAGCTTAAAATGATGAAATATTGTTTTCTATTTAACATAACTGTTCACTATTTGAATATATTTTAAAGTATTATTTTTTTCCAGATTTTTTCATTACTCCAGGCATGATCCTACAGAAATCATTCTTATATTCTGATTTGCTGCTCAATAAAACATTTTATTTTTGTTAAAAACAGATTTACTTTAGCTTTCTTTGATTGAAAAAAAGTTCAGAATAACAGCATTCATCTGTAATATGAATCTTTTGTGACATTTAAAGCACCCTCGCTATAAAAACTATTAGCTCTGATCATTTGTTTACCCCTTTGTTTCACTCAAAACGTTACAAAAACGTCTCTTGAACAGCAAATCAGCATATTATAATGAAAAAAATTTAATTTTACTGTAAAATGAGATTAAACAACACAATTCTAGCGGTTTTTTTGGGAACAGCTTAATAGTTTTACATTAATATTCAATATATCAACTTAAAATTGTAAAAAACATTAATAAACCTTTTCTGTAGTGTTCTGCAGATGTGACTGAACACTTACGGCAGAACGGTTCTCTTCACGGGCTCTGGAGGCTGATGAGGGTTGTAGGTGCCGGGACCGGGGATATTGTTTCTCACTGGGGACTGGATTCGGGCAGTTTTGGATTTAAAACAGGAGACGAGAGCTTGAGGAGACTTCTGGACCAAAACATCACTCACTTTATAGTGGCCTTCAGGACATAATAGAGATTTAAACATGCATAATCATTTATGGCACACTGATTTAAGTAGATTTAAACATAGACTGTTAAAAATGCTAGGTTCCACATACACTCAATTTATTATTATTTTTTTTTTGCTGCTTGCTTAAACTTCTAATTTACAGTAAATACAGTTTTTAATATCCTTTTCGAATATGACAACATAGACAAAATGATTAATATAAGGACATTTCTAGATTACGATTAATGTGGTTAGACTAGGAGAAATCTCTTCTTTCCAATGGATACTAGACCTTATTTTGCTGCTGAATTAAAAATACAGCTTTCCTTATTTTTATCTAAACACTGACTTTAACCATATGCACATGCAAAAATAATATTAAGAAAAATAAAAATAAAGCCTGACAGGACCCATCCATAATAATTTGGTAAATAATACGAGTTATTTACTGAAGCTTAAACAATTTGAATAGTTTGGCTTGTACCTTAATTAAACTATTATTATTATTATTAATATTATCTAAAACTGATCAAATAACTCACAGGGAGAGGGTCCTTTAAACTTGTCCGAGACAAAGGCACTCCGTCTGGTTTTGGAACGAAAAGCACTTTCACCAGAAATGGTTGAATTTTTGTCCACAGCTCGGTATGACACCTGACGGCAAAAAAGAAAGAAGATAAGGTCTGTTTAAACATTTATGGTCAGTGCATGTATTACTTTTATTCAACAAGGATGTATTAAATATATTAAAAGAGACAGTGATAACCCATTTATAATATATTTGTAACGACGGGGGGAGTGACAGAGACAACTGGAGGTAAGATCCACAATGCAGGTTTATTCAGCGTCAGGCAAGCATTGATCAAACAGGTGCAAACAGGTATTTTCAGGCAGTCCAGAATCGTAGTCAGTATAACAGGCAACAG